GATGCAGAATGTGAGGATGATAAATGCAAAATAATGATTTGCTACATTTTAATTCTAGTAATTGTGCCATTTTATATTTCTTGTATAATTGAGTTACAAAATGCACACCATTCCCTTTCTATTATAAGATGCTGCATCTGACAAGATTCAAAAGATTTATTTGTTTTGATCAAAGTAACCTGCATGACTTTATGAAGTTAAGTCAATTTTATGAAGTTTAGTAACTCTTGGTGGCGCCGTTTGAGTCAAACACGTGGAGGCTCTGAATCTGCTGTGTTTATCAGACTGTGAGTGCATTCAATTCATTATTGTGAGAAATCGGAATATCAGAACTTGGCATTAAGCTCGTCCAGTGTCTGATTTCCTAGCGAATGACTCCATTTACAGAATCTAAAACATCTCTGACTCTGATAGTGAGTGCGTGAAATTAGTACTTTCGTCATGCTGGCTTGAAATGAACCAAGATTGAGACTCTGAACTGCTGTGGGAATTGAAATATGTTTGAACAATGTTGGAAATCTGGAGCTCATTTCTGACAGCACCACATTTGAGAAGATAAAGACTGAAATATCATAAAGAAATAACAGTTATTTACAGTAGATGAACACAACACTCATTTGATGTTTGTCATTGTTTCATAGAATTGTTTCTAAATGACTATTTAAGCGAAACACGATTGAGAGCTATTGTAAGTGTGATGAGCGTTTGCTAAATGAGCTCCACTGACACCTTCAGTGAAGCCGCTCCACAGCCGTTCACGAGAGTGTAAATGCTGGAGAATATTCTCATCTTCCCACAGCTGAAGAAGCAGCAAGCAGGAGGAATTACTCCAGGAGGAACAGCTGACATACTGTTGAAAAGATGGAGTTTGAGGAAGAGTCCTGCAGAATGAGAGATGAAGATCCAGAGGAACAGACAGGTTGGTGTTTTCCTTCAGTCTCTTTAATGACTGATGAGGAACATTAAGATGAAAACTGACATATAATACATCTAAAACTAGATACTAGTAGACTTAAAGGGATAGTTCACCCAAAAATGAAAATGCGATGTTAATCTGCTTACCCCCAGGGCATCCAAGATGTAGGTGACTTTGTTTCTTCAGTAGAACACAAACGAAGATTTTTAACTCAAATCGTTGCAGTCTGTCAGTCTTATAGTGTAAGTGAATGGGAATCACGGCTTTGAGAGTCAAAAAAACACACAAACAAAACCAAATTGAACCCTGCGGCTCGTGACGACACGAAACGATCGGTCTGTGCAAGAAACTGAACTGTATTTATATCGCTTTTTTAACCTCTGATTCACGCAATGTCTGTTTGACATGTTTAATGAAATTCAGATTAAGCAAAAGCCAGAATTAGTTTCAGAGTGTCATTTGTTAAAGTTAGTCGATAAAACACTACAATGGATACAATTTGTGTTGAGGAGTTAAATTAATCACATTAACTGCATATAAGCATTTGAGAATCAATGGCAAAATTCATACATAAAATCATCATCCATATCATGAACAAACCAGTATCATGTTGTTGTTGTTGTTTAGTTTAGCTGTTTTGTACGGTGGCCGTGAAGTGCAAAGCAGATCACAATTCTGAAAACAAAATAACAAATTACAAATGCAAATGCAAGTCTAAAAAACAAAATAACAATTCAAAAGACATTATAAGAAGTCAGAAAACACAATGACAAATAGACAAACCGGAAGAGGTAGGTATAGTTTGAGACAGCGTCATTGGTTTGGGATTACTCACCGCTGACTGGACGAGACATCCGTCAATCAACATATACAGAGTGTCTATTTCCATTTAGTTAAAAGTGGCGCAGATGGATAAGTGCTTGCCCTTGGTTTTTTGACGTGATCAACACAGGTTCGATCTCACCTTTTGCCAAACTTTTTTTCCTCCCTTTTCAAATCTCGTATTAGCAATAAATTCTATTTACACTAAGTGAAAATAGCAGTATTTTTTAGCAATATGCTATTTACACTAAGTGCAAATACCTATTTACACTGTTAAAATAGCAGGATTTCTACTATCAAGTATACTACTTGTTGCAAATAGTGGCAATTATCTGCACTTCAGTATTGTAGAGGACGGGTCCAGGAGGTTTTAATGTGCTGTAATCGCTAAAGAGAAAAAAATCATCTAATGATTAAAACGGTTCAGGGATGCTCTTTTATCATTATTTCCAAATACTAATTCATATTAATGAGTAGAAAGGGATATATTATCATAACTGATGACAATTGGTTTTCTCTTCTGTTCTCTTTGGTGAATATCTCACCTCATATTTGATCCTCTCTGACAAATCAGAATGACACTTCACAGGTCTGTCTGCATCATCATGAGACTGAAAATAAAACCAAACAAAATCTGTTCATGTGCAGCTTATTTATTAATGCATAAATATAAAACTGTCTCTGTCTGATCTGTATTTGTAAAAGAAGCAATCACAGCTAATACTCACGACAGGGTCTCATTCCATTCATACTGTTTCTCCTGGTGAGCTCCGTACACTTTTCTCTGGTATTCCAGTTAGTTTCTCTGTACTCTATTTCTCACAGTCTTTACTCTGCTCATTTTTCTGAATTAGTTTCTCGTTTCCTTCAGTACTTCAGTTCATACGTGGTTGCAGTTCAGAAGAACTAGAGCACAATCAGTAATAAAAACTAAACAAAACCCTGCCTTTCTGGCATCAGTTTGAGTGTCCCTGGCTTACCTTTCTATGTTTTCTTCCTTGTGATTTTGTGCAGCAAGTCTGACATCATGCAACGAGTTTGAACTTGACTTGATGAGTTCTTTGAAGAACTGCAATTGTCATCAGGAATACTACTGTTCAGCCCACTTATTTTTCTGTATGTATTTACATTACATTTAATCTGTATATTTTTATAGTTCATGCATTCCATGGGAATCAAACTTTTTCTGTGCAGTTGTAAACAGTGAAGCAAAAAAATTGTTTGTTTTTTTATATATATTGTCATTTTTTAAAAACATTGTCAATTATGTTCCTGGCTGCATTTATTCATTCAGTTATATATTCAGTTTTTCATTAAATGGGACATATGTGAATGTATTTTCTTGGATTGAAATAGACGAAGGGCAAAATACATCAATATATGAGTGGAGATCAAACTTAGAGAATGATCTATAAATACTTGATTTTTTCTGAAATATTGTTCATCTTCATCGCTCAAAATTTGAAGGAATATTAGCTGTAGGTATATCACTGCTATGCTAACATGTTTGACAAAATAACCAACACTGTAAAAAAAAATTCCGTAAAATTTACGGTAAAAAAACGGCAGCTGTGGTTGCCGGAATTTTACCGTAATGAAAATACGGTAGCAACGTTTTAGATTTTACAGTTTTAACTTAAATTTACAGTTAAATACCATAATTTCATTAACTGATATAATGAATAAATGGGAATTCTGGGAATGTCAATTTACGGTTATTCACTGTAAATTATACATATAGTCTTTTTCACTTCCAAAAATGGTATACTACTGTAAAATTACACGTAATGTCCAATACAGTTTTTCACCGTATATAGTAGGGGAATTTACCGTTAACCATTTAACAGGCTTTTACTGTAGCATTTTTACAGTCTTTTACCGTTAAATTCACGGTCATTTTTTACAGTGAACGCAATTCAACAAAAACCTTAACCACAGTGATCAGAATTAGAGAACAGTAACCACTGTAGCACGAAATATTATTACAACAAAAATTTTGGAGGGTTACAGCTGTCAGAAATTAGTAGGAGGTGTAAAGGCCCTGTTTTGAAGGACTTCAGCACATCTGCGACCGCAGAACTTCACTAGTTTCTCACACTGCGCTGCTGTGATCTTGGTCCGCTCTTCTTCCACTCTCTTCCATAGTTTGGTGACTGTAGTGGGTTTCTTGGCCATACCTTTGTTGCCAAGGATTCTCCAGAGATTTTCAATTGGGTTTAGATCAGGACTCTGGGCCGGCCATTTCATTATTTCAGTGTTTTCAGCTTCAAGGAACTGCTTTACCTGTTTTGCAGTGTGACGGGAGCATTGTCCTGCATGAAAATCGCAGGCTGATTGGGAGATGCTTCTCGGGAAGGAACCGCATGTTGCTGAAGGAGGTTCTGATAAACATTTGCATTCACTCTGCCATGTTGATTTTGTGCAGCAAGTCTGACATCATGCAACGAGTTTGAACTTGACTTGATGAGTTCTTTGAAGAACTGCAATTGTCATCAGGAATACTACTGTTCAGCCCACTTATTTTTCTGTATGTATTTACATTACATTTAATCTGTATATTTTTATAGTTCATGCATTCCATGGGAATCAAACTTTTTCTGTGCAGTTGTAAACAGTGAAGCAAAAAAATTGTTTGTTTTTTTATATATATTGTCATTTTTTAAAAACATTGTCAATTATGTTCCTGGCTGCATTTATTCATTCAGTTATATATTCAGTTTTTCATTAAATGGGACATATGTGAATGTATTTTCTTGGATTGAAATAGATGAAGGGCAAAATACATCAATATATGAGTGGAGATCAAACTTAGAGAATGATCTATAAATACTTGATTTTTTCTTAAATATTGTTCATCTTCATCGCTCAAAATTTGAAGGAATATTAGCTGTAGGTATATCACTGTTATGCTAACATGTTTGACAAAATAACCAACACTGTAAAAAAAAATTCCGTAAAATTTACGGTAAAAAAACGGCAGCTGTGGTTGCCGGAATTTTACCGTAATGAAAATACGGTAGCAACGTTTTAGATTTTACAGTTTTAACTTAAATTTACAGTTAAATACCATAATTTCATTAACTGATATAATGAATAAATGGGAATTCTGGGAATGTCAATTTACGGTTATTCACTGTAAATTATACATATAGTCTTTTTCACTTCCAAAAATGGTATACTACTGTAAAATTACACGTAATGTCCAATACAGTTTTTCACCGTATATAGTAGGGGAATTTACCGTTAACCATTTAACAGGCTTTTACTGTAGCATTTTTACAGTCTTTTACCGTTAAATTCACGGTCATTTTTTACAGTGAACGCAATTCAACAAAAACCTTAACCACAGTGATCAGAATTAGAGAACAGTAACCACTGTAGCACGAAATATTATTACAACAAAAATTTTGGAGGGTTACAGCTGTCAGAAATTAGTAGGAGGTGTAAAGGCCCTGTTTTGAAGGACTTCAGCACATCTGCGACCGCAGAACTTCACTAGTTTCTCACACTGCGCTGCTGTGATCTTGGTCCGCTCTTCTTCCACTCTCTTCCATAGTTTGGTGACTGTAATGGGTTTCTTGGCCATACCTTTGTTGCCAAGGATTCTCCAGAGATTTTCAATTGGGTTTAGATCAGGACTCTGGGCCGGCCATTTCATTATTTCAGCAGTGTTTTCAGCTTCAAGGAACTGCTTTACCTGTTTTGCAGTGTGACGGGAGCATTGTCCTGCATGAAAATCGCAGGCTGATTGGGAGATGCTTCTCGGGAAGGAACCGCATGTTGCTGAAGGAGGTTCTGATAAACATTTGCATTCACTCTGCCATGTGTCCGTATAAGAGACCCAACTCCTGCTGCAGAAAACATCCCCCAAACCATGACACTTCCTCCTCCACCTTTCACTGACTTCTTTACGCACTCGAGGTTCAGTCTTTCAACAGTTTGATACCAAACAAAATGTTTCCCATCAGACCCAAATAAATCTCTCTCATCACTAAACTGAACTCTGGACCAGTTCTCCTCTCTCCACACAACATGCTTCTCAGCAAAGGTGAGTCTAACCTTTTGATTCTTTCTGCTGATGAGAGGTTTGGACACTGCAGAGTGCGCTTTCAGTCCGACTTCTCTTAAACAGATCCTTACCCTGTTCATCGCTGAACTGTCGAGCAATTCCAGCTGCAGTGCTGAACCGATTCCCCATCGAGAGTCTCCGCATTATCCTCTCTTCTCGTGCATTTGTCTTACGTGGACGACCAGCCATTTTGGGGGACTTGAATGAATTAGTGTCATTGTAAATCACAGAATCACAAGAAATCACAGATTTGCAATGGCTGAAAAGGTTGGCCCTTTGGCCTTTATCTGGACAGTCTGCCAGTTTAACACCAATAAATTGTAGGTATCTGTAAGTGTTCTCTAATTTTGATCATAGTTCTTTTTCAAATTAATTTATGAAATATGCTTAAAAACTGCCCTTCTACTCCTCTTAGGATAAGTTCAAATAGGACTAAGCAGTGACCTTGAAATTTAGGAAATTGTAGGTTGTTCTCTAATTTTAATCTCCGCTGTACATCAATATAAAAATATGCACACAAAAAAAAAACACTTGTTTCATGTGTATTTATGGATTTTGGGTGTGATTCACATTTCTAAATATTTTCCCATCTAACACAGGAACATTTTGTCTCTTTAGCCTTCTTCTCCCAGGAAGGAACATGTTCAAGCAGGTGATATGGACTTCACTCAGTGTTGGAAAGGCAGGCCTATTCCAGTGCAGTATCCAGATTTGTTTGCTTCAGGGGAATTTCTCTCATTTTTACTGGGTTGTGGCTTTTCTCTCTCTTTCTTTGCATGTCTCTTTGCAAAAATGTTCTTGATTTACACATATAGGGTGATATCAGGTAAATTGGGCCACTTTTTGGTTAATCACTTGGGACACTAAGAAAAAACCCATGTATGACATTTAACTGTGTTCTTATGATTAATAAGGACTGCTTTTAATATTTTTCTGTTGAATTGATGTAATCAAATATAATTGTTCCGGCCCTACATGTTTTGAAATATTAGCTGCACCACATTTTTTGAGATAGCAGTGTTCAGGTAAAATGGGCCGGCTGATCAGCAAAAATGGGCCAGTCAAACTGCAAAGTGAAATAGAGACATTTCTGATAAAACACATTTAATTATATTTAATTTTATAATGTAACAGTGTAACATTGCTATTAAATTATATTAGAACATCAATTTGAATTACATTAAAACATAAATTCCAATCAGTTTCATCAATAAAACAAATTTCATGAAAAACAAGCAGTTACGGCAACAGTTTAAAAGTTAACAGCCAATGACTGCAAATCATTTCAAAGAGAAGAGATAAGACACTCAAACCTTTTAATCAATTTCATCAATAAAACATAAATTTAATAAAAAAATTTAACAATAACTTGAACAACTAGTGTGTGTGTGTGTGTGTGTGTGTGTGTGTGCGCGCGTGATCTGAAGGTTTTTCAAAAACAGTCTTGACAGATAAAGCCGTCATCATCAAAAATGCCATTCTCTTCACAACATACTCTTCAGCACACATACACATGCCTCTCTAACATGCACACACACACATAGTCCAGCACACATAAACACACGTCACATGCAAACACATTTAGAAGGTAAAATGTGAACAAGGTGTCACAAATGAAGTAATACAATATATTAATAATATAAATAATTTTTAATAAGAGAAACCACCAGAATTTCTGCTTAAACTCAAATCAGAAGGTGGCCCATTTTAACAGAAATGAATGGCTCATTTTATCTTAACACATTCAGGTAAATCGGGCCAGTAACTAAAAATGTTTTTTTTATATATATATAAAAATCGGGATTATTTAGCAAAATCAGCATTTTATCTCACAGAGGCCATCAAGGTTATGAATCATTATTTCTAAATGTGCATTTGTTTTTTTATTGATTTATCAACCTTATTGTTGAGAAGTAAGATTGGATATGTCAGGCCACTCAGCTTGCTTTTTTCTGGCCTGATCTCAAAATGAGGCATTGC